TCCATACACAGGTTTTAAATTGGAAACATTCTGTTACCGAACGACAACACAATGAGGAAAATCTATACTATGAGTAAAAATCAGACACCGATCTACTCTTACAAAAGTAACCGTTACACCTGAACGCACGGTATAGAAACGTGATATAAATTTGGGTGTTTCGTTACTAAGAAACCGAAGCTTCCAGATTTATTTATTTCTTTTAGGAATTAGAAACAGAAGGAGATTTAACTTCTAGCGCCCCTTTAGCTGCCGATGAGGAAACCATTTTCCGTATTACATAAATGAACACTTTCTAAGACAACCGCTCCTTTTGCTATTTAGGTAGACAAGATAATCGTTGCAAGGAAGATATAAAATCCAGGATAGCGCAGGCTAAAAAAGCATTGGGATAAAAGTGGAACCTGCTAAGATCCGAGATAAATATACGAATTAGGAAAAGATTGCTAAAAACGTACAAATGGAGTGTAGGTCATACAGGTGCGAAACCTGGACGATAGACAGGCAAAAGTAGGATAGAATGAGGATTAGCTGGATGGATAGGGTAACAAACGAAGCAGTTTTGGAGCTAGTACAATAGGGAAATGTGGAAAACCGTACCGAGAAGACGAGATAGAATGATAGCGAACGTGCTAAGACACGGAGGAATAGCACTACTAGCTATAGAAGGTGGGGCAGAGGGCAAGAGAGGGGTAGGACTACAGAGACTTAAACACATACACCAAATAGTTAGGGGCGTAGGCAAGAGTAGTTATGTAGAACTGAAAAGATTATCGCAGGATAGGATTATAATATAGATTACTAAAAAATTTACTCCTCTGTCAAATCTTGCATAATATCACAGATTTAAACACTCATCTGTGATAATATGTATGAAAATGAATTCGAAGGTTTCTATAGTTTCTATTCTAGGTGGACTAGCTCCGTCAAACCAATCCTAGGATTGCGCAAACAAAACAACAACAAATGCCGAAAACGTGAAAAATTCAGGTTGGGGGTGATTTTCCTAAAAAGCTCGAATTTCCAAGGGCTTCTTTATGTGCGGAATTATGTTTTTGCTCCAAATACACATTAAAACAAACATTTTGACACCTTAGCAACGAGAATCAGACCGTTGGTTCAGTGGTTTTGCTCAAAAATCGAGAAATCGAGTTTAGGGGTAGTTTTTTCAAGATGGCGTCCGTTCCCCAACCGGGATCTTTTGGGACTTTTCGGAAATTGGTTCTGGCACTATCCTGAACATGTCTGCCAATTTTCAGCTTGTTTTTTCAAATTTGAACTTCCAAAGGCGACTCGACCGCCACTCATTTTTGATCGCCGGTTATATATCATAGTCTTTTAGTGAAATCCGTAATTTCACGAAAAGCCTAGTTCGAGACATAGTCGTTTAGTGAAACGCTGACAATTTGACGTTTGGGGTAGTTTCCCTTCACCTTCCAGATCGATAAGGGATACCATTTATCGATCTCGAAGGGGAAGGGAATCCAATCGCTTGGTCCTCAAAAGTACACTGTGCCACAGTTTCATAAAAATGACTAGGCATTTCGTGAAATGACGGATTTCACTGAACACTCCAAAAATATTCACAGCCCGCCTTAGTCACACTGAACCTCGGTTCACAGACCGCCGGAGAGTGTAGAACAGCACTATCTTCTTCTGAAATGGAAATATTCCTTTTCCGTTCCCACACAGGGTTGGACCTAACACCATTTTTCGATTTAATTAAACATTTTTCTTAAAAGCTTAATTTATATTATACAGGGTGTTCACGGATTGAGTGTACCTACATAAGTGTTATATGACAATTTTTTAGAGCTGGATGTTCTGAGGATCGCTCCAGCTTAGTCTCAAACTAAGATATTAAAAAATGGGTCAAATCAATTAATATATAAGGGTGTTTTTTACCGAATTCTAAAAATTGGTCAACTGATATAACAAAAATGTATTACAAAAAGATATTTAGAATTAAAAGTTATGGAAGACTCAATTTTCATACAAATCAGCCTGCTTTGATTTTTGTTACAAACATGAGTTCAAAAGAAAAAAATCATAGTAGGCTAATTTGTATGAAAATTTAGGGTCTTCTAATTCTAAATAACTTTTTTTAATACATTTTTGTTATATCTGCTCAAATAAAGACAGTTTACTCTTGATAATGTTTAGAATTCGCCCAAAAATACCCTGTATATTAATTGATTTGGCTCATTTTTTAAATATTTCAGTTTGAGGTCAGGAACGATCCTCAGAACATGAAGACTCAACTCATAAAAAAATTGTCATATGCACCTTATGTGCCCTCAATCCGTGAACACGGTGTGTACCTATACAAGTATTATCCATAATAAAGTAGAAATATTGTCGACTCGTAAACGTAGGTAAGTAAAAATAATTAAACAGGAAAGGAATACCACTACGAGCCAAACTTTTGTGACCCGGCGAACGTCGTACCTTTGGAAAATGTCGTTTTCCCGTACCCCGTTCCCGTTTTTCTTCGTTCCCGTTGGAACAGGAAGTTCTTTCGAAGTACACTTTAACGCCTTCTAAATGTCAAATTTGTTTTCAGGTGTAAATCGTAAAATTACCGTTCACGTGGGAATTTCGAAGAGTATTTTACCAACTCCAACTATTCCCCAATGTCTTTTCGCAATCGGATGAACGGTTTAGGCAGAGAGGCGGACAGACAGACAAACATTCAATAGATCATATTAGACCGGACGAACCTCGTATGTATCGTCTAAATGATCCCCGCGGATCCATGGGCAAGTCAATCTTACATGGACCCTTTCGCATACGCCGTGTTGGATCGGCCTGACATATTTAGCCATTGCCATTGCGCATGCTCGTCTTAAGGTTCTTTTCATGTATAGAAGGCAATCGACAAAATTGATACATGTAAAGAATTTTTAAAGAAAGCTATTTTGCAGACAAATAAGAATACAAAATTCTCCCTGATATTCCCGTTCACTCTGAACTAAACAGAAAAAGATGCATTATTTTACACCCGGAGGACTATTTTTCAAACAAATGAGAATGCAAAAAGCTCACAGTGGCTATTCTAAAAGCTCGGCCTGTATATAAAAAATAAATGTTGGGGTATCTAAAGCATCTCGTCTGAATCAATTCCCATTTTTTTTACTGAAATTCTGAAAACGGTTGAAGACTCCTTCAGATGTAGGTACCTCAAGATGGAATCTGGGGAGAAATGGAATAATGTCTTCGTATAGTCATAAATATTGTTATATAAACAACGTCATGTAGACGTTATTTCGGCCTAGACACCAAAAATAATGGCGGGACACACTGTATACGAGAATATTTCAATTTATTAAGTGTAAATCTGGTAGATTACTTACGAATAAGCATCAAAAATAAAAAAAATGGAGGGTGATATTTTCCCGCGGTTACTTAGCAAAGAAGAAAAAAATCCTGGAACAGTTTTAAGGCAATAGTCCATGGTTTCCCGTTCATTGTTTCCTGGGAAACCATAGAGCTGAAAATTATGACGAGCTGACAGGATTTGGTTTCGGATTATCGGGTATAGAAGGTCTCTAAAGATGCACAGGTCACATTCTCATTTAGATTAATTTAAGGATAATATGGGAGCTTATTCAGAATAACAAGGACAACACTTTCATCAAGACATAATGGAATTTAGGCACGTTACCAAGGTCAGTAAGCTGGAAGCATGATGGAAGATCATATTTGGGGGGTTGATGAGAAAAGTTTCAGTTGAACATGACAAAAACAGAAAAACTGTTCCATTTTTAAACAATTAGACTCTAAGAGAAACAAATTATAAATGTAGGAACGTTACCTTTTGCCTATGTAAGTAAGATTTTATAGGTATTTTTATTTTTTTGGTTTTTTGCATTTTTTCACACAAAAGCAAATACATAACCTTTTTTTATTCTAATTCTTATTTGTGGCTATACAAGCAAAAAAAATAAGGCATGTATGTCCCATGCGCAAAAATGCTGTAGACCGGTGTAATAGTGAAATACTTACATCCACTTTTTACTGAAGGTTTTAAATAAATCGAAAAGCATACGAACTAAGTTTATCTGATACAGCAATATATCGCACAAAATTATTATATACATTGGTGATTTCAATGCCGGTACAGGCGGCACTCCAATTTAACGTTTCTCTCTACTCGCGTCAATCGTCAAAGCACTTTATAGCATCGATACACTAAAAGCCCATAATATTATATTCATCGTTTGTTGGCTACAATCGGAATCAAATGTTGAGAAAACACCATGTGTGTTGGATACTAAATTATGGTTACTGTTTTAGTTTTGTCGGTTTCAATGAAAAATTCAAGGAATGTCAATTACAATAAAATAAAGTGGAAAATTTACAAAGAAAACAGCTTAATCTAAGAAACATCGAATAGAAACCCCCATAAAATTTGCATGGAACGTTTTTATTAAACACTGATGCATGTTGTAACAAAATGGTCTTGCCTCAAAAAATAGAAAAACCAGTTTGTTTATAGCCGTTCGTAATGGACCAATAAATTATCAATAAAAAACCTCTTAATGACTCAATTATTTAATGGCTAATCACATCCATCAAAATTTACCAATTCAAAACCATATCCAGGAAAAAGTATGATACCACAGGCGCTAATAGAGGTAATAATTCTTCAACGTTTGTAGGAAGGAGTGGGTTTTAAACAGCGCAAAATACTTAATTTAAATAAATGTTTTGATAATACAACATTAAGATAGGGGAAATTAGAGAGGAAACACGGTTTTATACGTGTCTCGTATTTACTTATCTCGAACACAATTTTAATTTTAAATCGATTTCAAAATACTACATGCTCGACACTTAAACTGGCTAAGATAAGGACGTAGAGGTGTAAAGAGTTCCATCCATTAAAATAAAGACCACCGACTATTTTCTTGTATAATGTAGGTGCAACCTTGTCTCGTTATTTTGACCCCTTTGAACTGCGCAGTACAAGGCTAATTGGCGATTTCTTCTTCTTCCAGGTCAAATTAGCGAAGAATCTTTAAATTCGTCAAAAAATTCAAACGGCGCGTTAAGTAAAAAGCAAAGAAAAGCGAGGACGGCGTTTACAGACTTACAGCTACAAACCTTAGAGAAAAGCTTCGAAAGGCAAAAGTATCTCAGCGTTCAGGACAGGATGGAATTGGCAGCGAAACTGAGTCTCACAGACACACAAGTGAAAACGTGGTATCAAAATAGAAGGTAAGTCCTTTTTTTCCGTATTTCATTATGAAGCGTAAACTTAATGAATCTACACACTAACACACAAGGAGACACTCACATGTCCAATCTAGAAAAGCTTTTATCTTCTACAGGCCCCGAGTACGAAGATAAATTATAAAACGCAACAATGTAATCAATTATAATTTGAAATAATGTTGCATGCAATTCTACTGTGTTAAAATTCTCTTCTTTAGAAACTGCATCGGTTATGTATTAATTGTAGCTGATAATTAGTTGAGTAAATTACTTTGCTGCGTGATTATATTAAATTACTTCCACGTTAAAAGGTAATAATCAAGGATAATACGTTATAAAATGCCGTTTACGTCTCTACATTTAATTTTGATTTTTCAAAAATTACCTATGCTTTGGTCAGACCCTTTTTAAATCTTAAATTCTACTTTCATTCAATAATTAACTATATACATAAAAACACTACAAATTTTACTTTAAATTGAAGTAATTAAAAATATTTTTTTAATTTCAAGTGAAGTCATGTGGCACTCAGTAATAGTGATACAAGGTATTATATTAGTACGATACGACCAGGTAAATACGCTATTTATTACTAGTCAAGCAATATCGCATTATTTAAATGTAATACTGGAGTAGATACGTGATAACGGACGCAGAAATCAGTGTAGTTTTTGGAAAAATGCAAAAAACGTCGATTTTGTTTGGAAGGGGGACAGTTTTTACTTCAAAACTTACACCCCTGCTGTCAACCCCCTAACCAGGGTTGCCACGCCTTCAAGTATTTTAAATTGAACGTTGGGCCGAGTGAATCATCATTGGAAAGGGTTCTTAATTTGAGATTCTTAAGGTTTAGTTTTCAAATTTGACTATTAACATAAGTCTGGTACACGGAAATAAAATCGTATTAGTATTCTATCATCAGTACCTAAAAACCGAGTTAAAATGTTGATAATAATAAGAATAGCTTTGGCCAGTTTTATGAGTCTAAATTTTTTAGTGTTGTTAGGGGGTTTTATTATGTCGATTTTTCATGGTTTATATTCTACCTACAGGATTGTTTTGTGTAGCTAATATTTCTTATAAACGTGTTCATTCACGTAAAAGCTTGAATATTCGTTTGAATTATTTGTAATTTGACACCCTGTATCCTACAAACAACTCGCTCAAATTTGAAAAATAAACCATAGACGTGTAGGGAATTAAAAGCGCTTTCCAATGATGTGGCACTTGATCCAACGTACAATTTAAGATTAATGAAGGGGTGGTAGCTCTGCTTAGGGGGTTAACAGCAGGGGTGTACATTTTGAAGTGAACTTCCAACCCAAATTGACGTGTTTTTGCATTGATTTCAAAAACCTTGGCTCAAACCCCGCCCACTTAAAAATAAAGGCAAAAATAAAATAAAATAAATGCCGTTTTCAAATGAAGATATATCAGAATTCTTTACGTTTCGCACCGAAATGCCCATATTACTGCACAAACATGCTTAGAGCAGTATCCTGAAAGGCAGCAACCTACTCAAAATTATTTTTATTATATTTATTTTTTAGAGGTTGAATCCTTTGAGTATCTCTTGTAAAGGTTCTTTCGGTTTATGCTTATTATTCATTTATAGTTTAGTTTTTTCCTCTGAAGGAACATAATAAATTTCTAAAAATGAATAATTTTTGAATTTTATCAAAATGTGTTTTTTAAACAAACAAAAGAATGTATGTTCTTTAATTCCAAGGCACTTTTTACAAAAACGGTTTTTCCATATTTTGACGGAATCTTAAAACGAACTTCTAAAATTCAATATGGCTGTCATAAGAAATAAAAAAGTTCTACTGTAACTTCCAAGTCTAGAGTGCCTTGAATTTTTCGATAACATATTTCGATACCTCATAAAAAATGATTTAATAATAGAAAATTTTTCAAAAATCTCATCAAATAAATAAAATAATGAAAGCGGCTTAGCTTTGTAATAAACAATGCTGGAATATCAACACTTTGCAATTACGAATTCTCAGTATGTGAGTCTTTTGCGACAGAACTTAATTAATTGAGCCTGTGAGAATACATACTAGATTACTATGATGTAAACCGATATATAATTTTTCTTATATAGCGATCACCCCAAAATAGCGCAATAAACGTTCCGTAAATATCTTCAATCAACCACATAATTTAATTAACGCAATTAAGCGGTTTCAATTAAAAATTATTATACAATTTTAAATTTATTTATTATAAGTATGATTATGTTAATTATTTTTTGATTGCACACCAGTTACAGGTAATTACACAGCACTATTAATTTCCACAATAATTTAATGGGAACGAAATAATTAAGAATCATTGCGTAGGTATTATATAAACGAACTCAAAAGATTGAAATCTATTATTGTAGATATCGTGATTCGAAGTTTGCATCTTAATTCCTGCGTGATTTAAATATGGCGCAAATTTTCGTTTCGAAGGTAGCTTTTTTCCCCTTCGCTATCATTATAACCACGCGATTTGTACCGATAATAATTAAAAATAATTTCTATATTCTGCCGTTTTAAACAACTATTGCAGTCGTGCCCCCCATTTCATCACGACATGCACTTTTTATCGGTGGGGGAATATAAGAGTCGTGGATTTTAAGCGATTTTCCGCAACAACAAATTTTTCAAGGACTGCAATCGCTTTTATAAACTATTTGCAATTACGACAAGCAATTTCGAGGTAATACATAGATTGAAAATAACACAATAGCACTTGGGATTTGCTCCCATCACTCGCCGCATCCTTATTTCTCTAAATAATAATTTGCTGGCCAGTAATTTTTCCGCATTAGAAAATATATTCGGGATGTGACACGAAAAAGGGATGCATCTCCTCACAATACCCGCCACGGAAAAGGGTGATAAACAGAAAAAGCAGTTATTCGCGGTGCATTTATTTGAGGTTTTGCACACCTCACCAATTCGACAGGCATGAAGAACAAAAAGAAATTTGACAGTTTTAGACGTTTCAGGCAAACTAAAACCACCATTAAAAATGTACAGCAGCTGAACTGTCATCAATGATAAGTAAGGAGTTAAATACTAAGCTCCTGTATATGATCTCATTAGCGGTAAAATATTAAAGGAACTCTCACGTATCGGTGTAAAATTTATAACCCATAAGGTACTTTCCAAGCCAATGGAAGGTCGCGAAAATAATAATGGTGCAAAAGCCTGGAAAAGTCATATAGACCCATAAGCTTCGAAAGAATGCTTCTAAAAGAACCAGACCATCAGTTTTGGGTTCCGACGGCAGCATGCAACTGTGGAACAGATCCACCAGGTTAGCTGTAGAAATTCACAAAAACTTTAAAAAGAAGAAATATTGTACTGCGACATACCTATGGTCCAGGCAAATTGGACGTTTTACAAAAGAAAATTGTTAATGGAGCTTTGCCAAGTGGATATGTTAAAATGGTCTATAACAAATACAAAAAAAATAAATACGTGAACAGGGGAGTGGGACTAAGTTTTTGGGGAGGGTGAAAAGGGATGAGAATCGTATGATGGCAATTTCCGGCAAAAGTTGAGATCAGAGACAAAAGTGTTCAATGGAAAAGTTGTAGATCGTGAAAAACTCTACTTTCTTTCCAGATATTTTTCTCACATAATCTCAAAGTAACCGAAAAAGTCGTGGAAAACCTTTGTTTTTTATTGTTCATTTCCGCAAAAATGATTTTCTTTTAACGAGGCTGGTTGAAATATTTTATGATTCAAATAAATAGACATTTTTTCAATGTAAAAAAATTAAGAGATTGACATATGTTTTGTTTAAAATTTGGAAATTTGTCAAAAATTGATTTCAGCATTCGAATCTACGGAAAAAAATACAAAAGAACCTAATTTCTGTGTTTGAACAGACACTTCCTTCCTTTATGGTATTATCATAAATTGTCTTATAATAGAGATTGATTGAATACGAAAAATAACAATCTTTTCCAATTTTTTGTGCAACAATGAAATGTAGTTTCTTTTGTATTTTTTCCAGTAGAATCCAATGCTGAAATTAGTTTTTGACAAATTTCCAAAATTTTAACAAAACATCAACATTTACTAGAAAATTCAATGTTACTGAAGTCGTTTCTGGAGTTTTTGAATTATTTAGTAGAGAAAAATATTATATCCGGTTATACTATTTAACAATAATATAAAGGGTACTACAAATGTTAAACGCCCCCGAAGACGCACTAGGATCTTTACTAAAAATCAAATAGGCAAGTTTGTTGGAAAACTAAGTAACGAAAATTGGCTTTCAGTAACCACTGACGTGGCCTTCAATGTATTTAATACGATCACCACAAAATTGCAAATATGTGTGACATTAACACTTGCTCAGTATCTGATCTTAAAAGTTTGGTGGAATAAAATGATTGATTTAAAAATGACAACCTAGGTTTTTTATTAATATTCTTCTAAAGGCTATCGATTTCGGGAATATACCCATCATCAGGCCGTGCTGAAATAAATAAGTCGTAGGTACATTAGGTGGAATATTTTTAATCTTGTTTAAGTTTAATATCATTTAATTTGGTTTTTATTAGGTTAGCGGTTAAGGTATTAGTATATTTAGTTATTTTGCTTTCTTAGATTATTAATAATTGGAATTTTATTCTGTTGGGCAATAAATCGTATTATTATTATTATTATTATCTTCAACTTTCTTTTTCCGAATCAAGACGTCACCAACACTAACAGCTAAAAAAGGGTGGGTGACCAATCAGGTGAGAGTTTCTGCTGCTAATCTGAAATCACTATACGCAATTATAAAAAACAATATCCTAGAACACATGGCTCTTGTCTGTGCTACTCGTTAAACTAATATGCAGCACAAAATTCTAAGCTCAGATAATATCGGCAAAAGTACGTGGTCGTTTACAAAGGCCCAAAAAAACACTCAAAACTATAAATTAATAGAAAATTGCGATACATCGATGATCCTCTGGAGGTTGCCAATCATTTTAATAATCATTTCAGATAC